GTAAACGAGTTGAGTTGAGTCGAGCTCGAGCCACCTCTTTCTCTAGCTTGAGCTTAGCTAATTAATTGAATTTTGTTTTGAGCTTAAGCTTGAGCTGGTACTCAATTATATTAGTTCAAATTGGCTCATTTTGAAGTTAATTCCGATTTGATTTGCTGTAATAAATTAATAAAAATAATGAGAAATTGGAGCAAAAATTAAATGAGCCAAGTGTATTAATTAGAATATATTTTAAGTATATTGTATATTAATATTTTTAAATGAGCCAAGTCATAAGCTAGCGAGTCAAGAACTATTCAATCTTGGCTCGGTAGGATAGATATTAAGCATGTTTTGTTTGTGAATTTTGATTTCTTCAACATTCAAAAGGCAGAGTTCAATATTTTTATTAGATTTGCCAATTGTTTTCTTTGAGGCCACATCTTGAGATTCACTATGAGTAGGAGAGAATTTAGTAACACGTTATGTTGTTTTGTTCCAATTCTCATTATTTGAGACATATTTGTAGGGAATCTTTATTATGTAGTTTTTAAAATAGAGATTTATTTTGTGAAATAAAGAGATCCTCTATCACATATTCATGTGCTTCTGAGTCTTTGATTAAGGATTACATTTTCTCAATTTTCTGAATTAAAATGCTTTCAAAATTTTTCTTCTTTTGAGTTGTTGATCTAGTGCTTGTTTTCGGTGTGGTCGGATTTATCTAGAGTTGGTTAAACATCTTTTGTAGTATATCAATTTACTCTTGGTTTTATGGATACCGTGTTAGTTTTTGAGAATCTTTGTTAGTTGTACCAAAATCTAATTTTAAAAGTTTTCAATCAACAGATCTCCCTTGTTTCTGATGTTTTTCTTTTGTATTTTTAGATCTTAACACATCGTGCCATGGCATTTTTTTTCTTTGTAAACTTGTCATTGAAGGTAAGCATATCCTTTAGAAGTGAGTGTCAACTTTTAGGGTAAGTCGGTACTTCTTTGTTTTCTGTTAGGATTTTTTGCAATTTCTTCTCTTCAAACTTCCTATAACAGTGTCTAATTATTCGGAAGGATATTTCTCCCAAATATCTCACCTCAAAATTCTTCAAGATTTTTATTTTGTTTGAGAAAGAATTCTGATATTTTCTCTCTAACCAATTTACCACGCTTAATTGCAAGCCAGCGTCATTTTTAATTATGCTCTTCAAAGACATCCAATTGCTTCCAATAACGACTAAGGGTGATGTATTATGTAGCAAACTAATTCCCATCTAGAAGGTCATGTAGGGTAATCTTTTCCTTTGTTCTCATACTCATGCAATACATTATAACTTCTCTAGTTGGTTTTAGTTTTGCAATTCTCACTGGATTCTTTCTCGCATAAATTTTCATTGTGCCATAGATGCCATAAATTTGGCATCTATGATTAACAAAATTCTCATTATCATACAGTTTATTGGGTCTATTTTGACTAGTCATGTCTTGATGAATTTTCCTCATAATTGTATTAAAAATCATCAGAATAAATTCATCATGATGATTCGAATCAATTTCCAATTCATGTGAGCTAAATTGATTAGTTTCTAGAGTGTTTTGCTCCTTAAGGTTATTGTATTCTTACCAAATCTGATTTGCTTCTTTATTGGCTAATATTAAGCCACATATTTAGTTGATACATTGAAATAATCTTAAACTTCGATACCGAATATAATGTATAGGATGCCAGGGTTTTTATTGTTTTATGACGACTAAAAATAATGAGTTGATTCAATCACAAAAACCCAAGGTTCACAGTTAACTGGTTGCAAATTAGAATAAATATTTTTCTTTTAATGCAAGCCAAAAAGAGGTAAAATCCTCATATACGATAATTTACAAAAAATAGGGCAATTTGATCAGAACTAACTTTGTTATTATAATAACTGGTAAGAATTCTGATTAAATTTAATGACAGGCAATATAAGCATTACAATTACAGTAGTAAATTAATTAGGAACAATTACTATTTTTTGCATCGATATAAGGAGATGCTTTCTCTCAAATTCTCTGGTGACCACTTGCACTATTACACTCAGAATAATTTATATTTAGGCAACACTTAAGCTCAGGTAGGAATGTAGACAGTTCTGAGAACCATAGAGCTTCTGAAGTAATATTAGCACATCTTTGAATGTCAGTTGCACTTCTGAGTGCATCATCTTGTATTTTGACAAGTATAAACTTAGATGTTTGCATCAACATGTATCATCTCATGTCATATAACCCAACTAAATTGTTTTCTTTTCAGAAGTCAACTTTAATGTTTGTATCAACATGTTTCATTGCATGGCAAGTTGACAGAAGTTGTTTATTTACTTTTGGGTCTTAGCTAATATTTTACTTGCAGCTAATTTTGAAAAATTTATTAATATCGAATTATTTTCTTTGGATGAATTTCAAGATAGAAGTTGTATTATATATCTGTTTTTCTTGTTTCACACTAATTGGGTGTCTAGGTTCAAATATTGCATGCTGCTGTAGGAAAATATTTTTATGCGAATAATGCTTAACTTTCTTTATTCCTGATTGAAGAATATTGTACAAGCTAAGCTGCATGAAGCGGCTATAAAATAAGCTATGTTGAATGGATTGAATATTTGGAAACTAAGAAATATTTTGCAATTAGTGTGAAAATTTTGAGAAAGCTAAAATAGATGGACCGTGAATGTTGGTAAAGTAGGATGCAAAGTGGTTATACTAAATAGCCATTGGAGTGGCACTTTATAAAAGGCTTGGTTATGTTTAATAGAATTTCGTAGCTTGGGGATCTACAATGGTTGTTGGAGATGTAATCAATAATGCATAGAGATTTGATTAATGTCAGAAGCATAGGAAATAATTTGTTACACCTAATAAATACCTTTTTTACTCTTTAAGTGTAAAGACATATGGGACACTAGCGAGCCAACCTTTACTTAAAATTAAGGATTTCAATTTCAACTTAAACTAGTTGAGTTCAAGCATAAATTGATTGATTGAATTGACTTTCAGGTTAGGTCAAGCTAACTCTGTTGGTTTTAAAAAAAAATATATATTTTTAATTAGGTTTATATAAATGACTATTTATGTGTTTAATTGAGCGCACGACAAGCTACTTGTGGCTTGGCTTGATTAAATCACTTTCATGACCGTTTGTTTAACTAATATTATTTTATAACTGTTTTTATTGATTCAAACTAGTAGGATATCTAGGTTCAAATGCTGCATCCTGCTGTAGGAAAATATTTTTATTTGAATAATGCTGACTTTCTTTATTTCTGATTGAAGAATATTGTGGAGTCTAAGGTGAATGAAACGGCTTTAAAATAAGCTATGTTGAATGGATTGGGTAATTGGAAACTAAGAAATATGTTGCAATTAGTGAAAATTTTGATAAAGCTGAAATAGATGGACTATGAAGGTCGGTAGTAGGATGCGAAGTGGTTATAGTAAATAGCCCTTGGAGTAGCACTTTGCTGAAGGCTTGGTTTATTAGAATTAGGTGGCTTGGGGATCTACAATGGTTGTTGGAGATGTAATCAATAATGCAAAGAGATTTGATTAATGTGAGAAGCATAGGAAAGAATTTGTTAGCCCTAATGTGTACAACGTTGTAGTCATTAAGTGTAAAAACATGTGGGAGACTAGCGAGCTAACCTTTACTTGGAATTGAGGATTTTAATTTCTACTTGAACTAGTTGAATTCAAGCATAAAATAATTGATTGAATTGACTTTTAGGTTAGGTTAAGGTAACTCTGTTAGTTTTAAAATTTTTATTTTTTTTAATAGGTTTATATAAATATCTATTCATGTGTGTTTAACCAAGCATTCAACAAGTTATTTGTGGCTTGGGCCGATTAAATCACATTCATGATCGCTTGATTAACTAATATAGTAAACTTGAACACTTTCTAACTACTTGATTGTTAAATAAATGAGCTTGAACAAAATGTTGCTCAATTCATGTAAGATCATGAACAATATCATTTAAAACTCGTGAACAAGCTCATTAAAAAAGTTTGATTAAGGCTTTTTTGTGAACAATATCATTTTAATGTTTTTCTTTTAAGGCTCAACAAGTTTAGTTTTATAGAAGGCTCATTTATTTTTTCAATTGCTCATATAAAGCTCGATCAAGGCTCATTTATTTTTTCAATTGCTCATATAAAACTCGATCAAGGCTCATTTATTTTGTTAAATGTGTTGCTTGTTAATAAACTCGATAATCCTAATGTGAATCAGGCTTGAATCAAGCTCCAGCCGAGCTCTAAGAGTGTTTACAAATGAGCTTGAGTTCGAAGATGCTAAAACTTGGCTCTGCTCGGTTCATTTAGAATCCCATATATATATATATATATATATATAGAGAGAGAGAGAGAGAGAGAGAGAGAGAGAGAAAGACACACACACGAATCAAACTAATTTTGAATGAGCAGTTCTCGAATTGAAGCAATCTGATTTTGTGTTGCTTGTCTGCTTGATATTCAAGCTTTTGGCGAGTAATTCTGAGAGGCTGTTTTGGAACATTTGAGAATTCTATCATAAATGCTTGTTCAAACTTGGTAAGATAAGGTACGAAGAGATGTTTTTGGAGCAATAGCCAATACCTATTCAATGCTAGGTTTTGGACAAAAGATTTTGTTTTTTGGGTATGTAGGATGGAGAGTAAAAGGTTCACAAATAAGATAATGATGGGGTAGTTTGGGTGCGCATGATGGAGGGTAAAAGATTTATAAAGACAGACTAGTATGAAACACATGGGAAAGAAATATATAGTTCAAGTTCTTACAGCTTTAGAGCTTTGAATTGTAAATGCACCTGTGAACCAAAATCATTTGTTTATTTACTAATAAACAATATGATTGTAAAGTTCTTTGGTTGTTAATGCATAATTTATCTTTGTAATGCATGTTTAGTTTTAAGTTAAATTTTTGTATCTTATTCTTTGTTTATACCTCATAGCTTTGCTTCTTTGGCACAAGTTATCTTGGATGTGTTTTCTCAGGGAGCCGAGAGGTTTTGGTTTTGTTAAGTATCGATATCCTGAAGATGCAGCTGAAGCAAAGCTCCAGATGAATCATCAAATTATCGGAGGGCGTGAAATTTCTATTGTATTTGCTGAAGAAAATCGAAAAACACCACAGGATATGCGAGTGAGTGCTCGTATAAGGTATGTTTCTTTTTTTGTTTCTTCTGAAAGGCACTCTTTTCTAGCAAATGAAATAGCAGCTTACCCCCATTTTTGGCCAGCAGTGGAAGATATAATGGTTACAGTAGAGGACGTTCTCCACCAAGATCGCCAAGGCGTCGTTACCGATGTAAGTTTTTAAACAAATACCACTATAGGATTTAAGATTTGTTTTTTTTTCCCCTCAAGTAATTCCTCATAAATATGGCTCCTTATGCTAATATTTCTGTTTTCTCCTCGGCAGCATATTCACGGTCCTTTTCTCCAAGGCACGATTCAAGGTTTGATGTTATTTCTTAATGTTTTCATGTTTATGTATATTACTATATAGTTTTATGCTTCAGGAAAATGATGGGGAGTTTTCTCTGTGTTAGTCTTTCCATAAGCATGTTTGTGTTTATATATGTTTACATCTCCAACCAGAATCAGATGCAATGTGATTTGGTACATTTCCCCATATGTTTTGTGGTTTTTTCAGATCCATGTGCCTTTACTCTGTTCTGATGATTTTTGCATTGGTTCTTCATTAACCCCTTTTTGCAATAAAATGTAAAATTAAATTTGATAAGCGGATGATGCCACATTAGTTCCGTGCTTTATCTAATAACTCGTGCTTTAGGTTTTTCTTCAACGTTACTTTTGGTATAACAGATAATAAAGGCCTCTCATAGAAGACTTGATGCGTTTAATTTCTAGCTGGAAGATGCGGATGATCTTTTACGGATAATGTGGTCATCAGTTTATTTGCTTTGCTATAAATATTTTGCAGCTGCTGATTATATTATATACTTATTTTTAGCTCTCCAGTGACCTTTTGTCATAAATTTACTTTCAATTTCTCAGTCAATTATTATGATTTTGATTCAAGTTCATCAATTCTATGAAAGAACACGTGCCATTTTAGTTTTGGTATGCCTGTTTTCATATGTTTGTTTTTATTTGAAAACTCATTATAAAGATTTTATTTAAACTAACGTGAATATCTTTACTTTTTTTATTTTTTTTTTTTCATTTTGGTTACCTTGATGCTATGGGGTTGGACCAATGAAACTCTTGGTATCATTCCTTGTTTATAAGGTATTTTGATTAATTTTTTAGTGGCATTTTCTATCCTCAATTAAATGTGCTAAGAAGAAAAGTTTTACAAAGGATTGCTGTACATGTGTTTGTCTCCTGCTTTAAGGTCACCGTTGAAATGGATTTGATTAACTTGGCGGTGTTACTCATGCAGATCATTATATTGAAAAAAGTTAAAGAATGATTGGATTGTAAAGACTTAAAAGTGATAGAGAGATCCAAAGTTTTTGCCCCTTAGTTTCCCATCTTGTGAAGCTATCCACACGAAGTTGATTAAATCTTCAGACATAATTCCCGTTGATCACATGGTTTGCTTGATGATCAACAAATCCCTAATGTAGAATTCTTTTCCATTTTAATATGTAAGTTTATTTATCTTGCTTTTGTATACTATCCAGTTACAAAGAAATTAAAGCCTATAGTTACAAAAGATAAAGGACTGGTGATCCGCAAAAAGACTGGGAGGTCAAAAGCCCTTTAATTCTCTCCATTGCTATCATACATTTGTTCAAAATAAAGGAATGGTTCTATGAAAGATGTGCGAAAGAGCTCGGAAGAAAGAAAGTATCATAATTTTGTTCAGTATCTATGCAGTATGGATATAATTCAGGTAACATTAATGTTCCCATTATGTAGATTCTGAATACGAAGAACCGTGAAGTATTTCCACCTCCAAATAATGGCCTATAATAATCTTTCTCAACTATACTGTTCTATGCTGAATGGTCACTGTTATGTACTCTTTTGCATTTACGTTCTATATTTGCATTCATTTACATTTTTGATGGAGAGTATGGTTTTAACATATGATTAATTTTGTGCTCCTTAAATGAATGTTTTTTCTTCTTACACTATTGATTTTCTGTATCATATCTCTGTAATCTATTAAAGCAGAGGGCACGAAAGGGCTACGCGAGATGAGTACTACTCTCCTCCAAGATCCCGGACTCCACCCGCAGGTGGTGATGGCCATTATAAATCACTGAAACGTTCTCCAAGTCCTGAGTCAAATGTTCGACGCTCATCGAGGTCTCGCTCGTACAGGTGAGCTTTAGATTTTCTAAACTATTTTGAGACCGCTCTTTTTAATTCTCATGTGTTTACATATCTAAACACCAAAACATTCTTATTTTCATGTATAACGCTCAAAATTTTAACATCACATCAAAATTATTCCCATCACTATCTTTTTAAAAGTGAAATACACTTTAATGTAAATATCAAATTTTGGGTGTTAGATATGTATGCACATGCATGAGAATTGTGTGGTATGTATGTAAATTTCTATACAGTAAATTTTGATCTGTATATTTTGTATTATCTTTGCAGTCCAACTTGATTCGCTTAACGTTCGTGATAAAGCAGGCCATCTACTTCGTAGCTTTGTTTAGTTAGTAATGGTAGTATTTCCAAAGTCTTTTGGTATTTCAAGTGGGCGGTTTATGAGCCTTACAAAGATCGCTTAAGCATGAATAGTATCTTTGTTTTGGAGTTTAATATTGAGATCATTTGCTATGAAAACTCTTTGTTACTGCTTAATCTTTACTTTTTGTTCAGATAATCTTTGTATTTATGTCTTATAACAGCATATTTTTGGACCAATGGAACCTTTTAATTATCCTGAACTGTTTGATACTTTGATTGAACGGTATTTACACGTCCGACAACTAAACTACAATTTTTACATGCATTCCACCTTAGCCATGCATGAAAAAGGTGCATTTCACCCCTTTTTTTGATGTGATATGAATGATTTAGGTGGTATAAATATAGAGAGTAAACCTTAGGTGCTAGATATGTAAATACATAAGAATTGGATGGTATGTATGTAAATGCCCCTTGATTGAGGGTGTGTTTGGGGGCAGCTTGTGCGTTTCAGGATAAACTGCTTATCCTGAAACGTGACCCGCGCGAGCCGCGGGGTTCGGCCTGTGGCCTGCGTTTAGTGTAAAAACCCAAACGCGGTTTCAGATAAGCTGACGAAACGCGCGAACCAACGAAACGCGCGAACCACAAACGGTATATCGGCGTTTTAAAAACGCTGCCCACACTTATAAGCTGCCCCAAACGGGCCCTGAATTGGTTAGGTCTATCGAATTTTTATTCGTTTTAGTTGGCAATATTTTGGTGGAAAAGTTGTTCTAGCTTTTGTCGAATGAGCCGCACTTAAGTAGTTTTTTCTTTATCATATTTATTTTTTATCTGTTTTGTTTTTTTGTTTTATTTTTATTTTAATTTGAGATAAAGTTTATTTGATATGTTAAATAAATCAACTCATTTTTTAATATAATATCTAACAAACATTTGTAAAATTTAAAATATGTACTTTCCCCGATTAGGCCCTTATGTTTGGTTGTCATTTATAGTTGTACCATTGGTATAAACATAAGTTATTTTTTATAAAAATGATTTTCGTCTCAATTTTACGTTTAATTGTATGTTGATGATTATAACTATTATTATTAATGAAATATGGTTTTTAACTGTACTACGTTATTTTGTTTTGTAAAGCTTGAAGTTGGCAGTTAATTAGCCACTTTTTTAATGGAAATTATGTCATACTTGTGTAAGATTGCTTCCAGCTATTCAAGATATGAATCTATATTGACAGTGAAATCATTTTAATTTGGCTAGACCCGTGGTTTTTCCTCCTCGTGTTTTCCACAGAAATTCGTGCTGCCTTTAATGTCAACTTTCTTTTAGTGTGTGCTAGATTTTTGTACAGCATTAAGCAATAATATATCACTCGCCCTGCGGATTGACGAGCACTCAAGGTGTTAAATGTGTAAATTCGTGGGAGTTGAGGGGTATGCATGTAAATGCCTCTTTTTTATATTCTTTTCCAGCTTCTTCACTGTTTTGAGAAATAAAATAAAATAAAATTGATTGATGTGAGTAGTGGAATTATTTCACGTTTTTAGTCACATGTTGTGAAAGAGAATCAAACTGCTCCAATGCAACAAAGTAGTAAAGCGTCTAGAAGAAAAGAGAATGAGAATAATTAATATAAGATATTTACTAACAAGATGAATGTGGTCCACTTTTAGATCGACCTCTTATAGCACTGAAAATAATGTGGAAAACAAATTTACATAACAAAAAAAAAATCAATCAAATATGGTGTGATTTACATGGTTTGGCACAGATCCACCGATGTCCGTGGGAGGGAGATTTTACAAATCAAAAGGAACGCTAATCCCTCCTTTAAATAAGAGAGGATTATGTCAAGTAATTAAAAAAAATACAATTGACCAATTTATCCCCTAATATAATTAAAACCTCTAATACAACAATCTTCACCCTACCTCTTACTCTCAAATAAGTGAGAGATGACAAAATAAACTCCAATACCAAAAAATGACTACACCAAGATGGTTGCATTCATACTTTCCTCCCAAAGGGATCAAATGGCCTCACATACCTCTGCAAAAAGCCCAATTGAGCAATCAATTCCGAACTCAGATGTTCACCCAAACTCTTGCAGTTGGTGAACTTTTGGAATGGTAATACCTTTATGAGCATGTTCAAAGAATTGTCCTTTGTATCTATCTTCTTTAACAAAATTTTGTCGTCATCAATCAAGTCTTGAACAAAATTGTGTCTCAAATCAATGTGCTTGGTATGAGCAAGAAGAACTAGGTTTGTGGTAAAAAATATTTACTCTAGTTATCATAGAATATCGTCAAAAGCTTTTAATCAACTCTCACGTCATTCAATAAACCTTGTATCCCCATTGCTTTCTTCATCGCCTTTGTGGCTGTCATGTACTCAGCCTCTGTAATAAACAAGACAATAATAGACTAAACAACCAATCTCGAACAGACTGAACCTCTTACTATTGTGAATAAATAGTCAATCGTAGAACTCCACGTATCTATATCACCAATAGTGTGACCTACACACAAATCAATAATAGATGTTTGCCTCTCAAATTCCAAGCTAAAATCAATAGTACCCTTCAGATGTCTTATAATACTTTTCACATCATGTTAATGACTCCATCATGGATCATGCATGAATCTGATCATGACACCACCTACTTGTGCAATATCTGGTATAGTACAAACCATAACATACAACAAATTAACTACTACACTAACATAAAGAACCGATCACAAATCTTTCGTCCCAATATATTTAAAACACTGTTCTAAAGTTAATTACAAATGAGAGACAATTGGTAGACTCTTCGTCTTCCTCGAGTTATCAACCTTAAAATTCTTCAGCATCTTCTCGCTTTTGTTCTTTTTCTCTCTTTTTTTTAGGAGTCACCAGCTTTTCTATCCTCATATAATTTAATTTTTGGAGTAAGTCTATCTTCTAGATCATATGAATGGTTTGGACAAGAGAGGAATCATAAAATAAGGACATATAAGAAATGTAGAAAAATAAGAGAACAAACATGGAGAAATTTCGTAAAGTAAACTTAGCATGATAGCCCAAGTATGTATGCCCAAAAATGAAATTGGGTCTAAAATGCCTTGAAGCATATCTATGAAGAAGACCCTATGAAAGAAACCAACAACCAGAGATTCAAGTGTGTGTGCTTTTTCTGGGGTCAAAAGCAAATTCCAAAGGGACGTATCCCTTTGGTTAATTACATTAGGAAGGAAGGTCAGTGTCCTTACATCCTAACTAAGAGGAAAACATGTGAGCTAGAGGAAAGCGGTGATTTCGTGTTAGGAAGGCCTTACATCCAATAGTGGAAAGAACTATGTGAAAGTCACACAAAGTTGGTTTGGTTAAGAATTGTTACAAATTCTTAAGGTTTGATGGGTATATGCCACCCATGGGAAATTACACCTTACCCATAGTTGTCTTTTAATTAGTGATGTCGTTTGGAGTTAATTTAAAGGTTTTAGGTTGTTTGCTAGGTTTAAGCCATCTAAAGGAAATTACACTTTGCCCATGGTTATCTTTTAGTTGGTGTGGTTGTCAAAAGTTGATTTTATGTCATTTTGCAGGATTTTGTCCATTTTTTGTCAATGTTAGATTTTGTTTTGTTCACATGTGTTTGCTCTGACCTTTTGTATCTGCACGAGAAGTTGTCAGTGGGAGAAAACCAATTGCATGGCAAAAGGATGCTTAACTTCATACTTTTCATAAAAGAGATGTTCAACATACATTAATGATAATGTCATAATATCAGAAGATGTCCAATATTACATCAAAGATAACATCCTTATAACAAGGACATCAAACAACATCTGGCATCAGACATGTTATGTCTCTATCCATGTGCGCTGCACTGATCGTTGAGCTTGCTGTCATGTAGTAATCCCTTTTACTATAGGACCTGCCACAGACACCTTGCACTCCAAGGTACTACTAGAGGCAAGCTCTTTTGAGTACAACTCAGGTGCTCACTGGGTCACGATAGCTCTAGAGGTTGCAATCCCTGAAGTTTTGACTTAGGCTGATAGTGGACTGGGTGCTTGTCAAGCTGCATTCTTCTGAGTGTGATCAAAATCCTTTGTCAGCCACCCCTAGAATGCAATGTCACCACATCAGCTCTGTTTCCTTGTAGAATCAACACTCATCCAAGCGGGAGGGATATCCAAAATGAACCCCTGAATTCTTCGGGTCCTCTAATCATCATCTCAGTCCCAAATAATATAGCACATTCGTTCAACAGAGAATTCCTGCAAAAGGGTCTCTCAAAATCATGATGGTTAATATGAGACAGAATATAATCCCCTTTTTCATAAATTTTGATGATGCAGCTATCGGGGATGCAGGCCAGATGCAATATACTTCATGCCACCAGTCTCTTAATTATTTTAGTTATTATTACAAGCATCAAATCTACTTGATCATATCTTAAGATGCCCAGAGGATTCTCGTCTCTATCCACGACAAAGTTATAACAACAACCATACTGTATGTTGATCCTGCCTTTCCCAATTTCCATCGGCTAGGCTTCTAATAAGTTTTCTTTTCCAGGTATCCAACTCATCCTTTGTCGCGAGCCCCCATCAAGTGTTCAACAATGATCTCTTGTTCTTCCTTGTTGAATATTCTGGTGAATAGCTGCACACCCTCCAATATGTTGATCTTTTCATCATTTACTTTTCGAAAATGCTAGAAGAGTTGTTGCCTAATGGTTTGGATGTGCCCCAAATCTTCCTCAAAGATGATCTATCTGATGATGGGTTCTTCTGGCACCACAGAGTCAATGACCTATGTGGCATATGGACTTGGTGCGAAGATGCGTCTCTCTATCGTGTCTTCCTCAGGAATAAAGTTTTCCATCCCCTAGATGGGGTATGCTTCCCCAAGAGAATATTTTGGAATTGAAAACTCAAATTCTGTCAAATCCTCCTCCATGGGTTGTGGCAAGAGCTCTTATTCCTTCTGTTCTTCGGCTCTCTTTAGCTGTTTTTTTCATATTTCATTGTTGGGTATTGGTTAATACCGTTTTGATTTTAGTCACCCTCACTATGAAGGCATCCATAATTCCCTGGGCGGCGGCGAGAACTATTGATTTTAATTTTCAGCTATCACCAGTCAGCTTCTTTCTTGTTTGTTCCTCCTTCCTTTTGGAGGTTTGTTGTGGTATAACACAAAATTCCAAGACATGTTCTCTTTCTTTAGCCTTCTCTTGACCAACGATGGAGAGCAATGGGCCATTATTTAGTAGTTCCATCTGTGTTATGTCGAAGTCAAAATGGATCCTTCTTATGTTATATAGTAGTTCCTCTTCTTATGGTATATAATGATACTATTTAAGACGGTTGGTCCACCAACTTTTTCGCGGGGAATTATCAAGGTTTTGTGAGTTCGAAAGAACATCGAACCAGAAGAAGAGGAGTTTGAAGATCGATTGAGATAATAAATATTGAAATTATTTAAATGCGATTTAAATTTATATAATATTTGCATAATAAAAAATTTAATTTTTTTTAATTTACCAAAAGTTTTATCAAATAAATTTATAAAAAAAAATAAGTTTAAAATACTTTGATAAATTTCTATAACTCAATTCTAAGATCCCAATCCAATTATCACAGAAAAACCTAGTCCTTATCCCAATTTACCATTTCTATAGCAATTCACATATCATATTTTGTCTCACATTACAAGAGTTAACATTAAAAAGTTAAAGAGAAAATTATAGTTGGAGTCTGTGGCATGCTTAATTGTTACGCAAATTGGTATTTAATTTACATGTTGGTTAGATGTTTCCATTATTTATAGTATTTTTAAAATATCATTAAAAAACTTATACATTAAAATATTATATTTTAAATTGGATATGGTTGGTGTCAACAACAATTAATTAGATCACTAATTAATAATGATTACAATTATAAAAATTGAACCTAGCGATTTTATAAAACATGTATTCATTTGACTGTCTATCTATCAAAACACTAGTTCTTACCTATTCCTATCATAACAAGGTCCACACAGGTTGACCATACCAACAATATAACCAGTTCACAATTGAAGCGTATGGTACAATGTAATTTTAATAACATTGGAACTTAGAATTTTAAAAGGGTGAATTACATATTTTATTAGAATCCAAAAAAAAAATTGATATAATAATCTCAATTATCATTAAAAAAATGCAAATTAGATAATATATCAAAAATCATGTCCATAACACTGAGATGATAGTGAATTCAAATTTCAGTGACTTGATTTATGGTTAAGCACGATTAAATGTTTTATTATTTTTTAAGTAATAAGTATTAATATCATTATTATTTTTAAAATCTATCATTAGTACATGGCTTTAAAAAAAAAGGCATTTGGCATGAGGCATGAGGCTTCACATGGTGTGAAATAGAACTAAGTGGCAATGTAAGAGAGCAAGAAAGTAATTTCATGAATAAACAAGCAAGGAAAAAGTGAGATGAGTGGGATTTCTTAGGAGAGATGGTGACAGAGAATAAGTGAAAGCCCTTTAATATGACTAATACCTTCTATGTGTTCATATTTATTTAATAGTTTTCTCAATTACTCTCCTAAGCCTATATGTGATTAGAGGACTGTAATGTCTCTACGTAGGCATTATTAATAATACAAGCTTCTACATATATATTATGATACCACAAATGGCTCAATTCTCATACAAATAGTTCAAGATACAACTTGAACTATAACTTAACCTTTCTCATGCATTGTTTGCAACTTGATCGAATCATGATCAAGTTTTAATCCAATTATATTTAATATAGATTAAATCTTGCTCCAATGGGGTTCCAATTTATTCAAATCTTTTTCAAAAATAATAAGAAGATTAGAACCAAGTTAAAATATTTTTTTTAAGTTAGATGTGATCATAGTTTAATCAAGTTCCTATCAACATTCAAAACGTATAATGCGACGCCTAATGTTATTTGGGGTTTAAAGTTGAGAGCACTACATGATTTGGTCGAAGTTGGAACAAATTTTGATGAATATTTGAAGTAGATAATGTGATATCTAATGTTATCTCAAACTTATTATTTTGATTGTTCACAATATTTTTAAGAAGAATTAATTCATCGAATAACATTACCTTAAACAAATGATCAAAGAATAAGATTCAGGCTCCAACCGTTTGGAAATTGCATTTGAGCAGCTTATCCGAAAACACATTTGGTTATTTACACTAAACGCGGAATGCGGGTCGAACTCCGTGGTCTGCGTTTACTAATAAGCGACTTATCTGGATAAACACAAACTGCCCCAAACACAGCCTTAGATTAAAACTTAGCCATGGAACTGTCAAACACGAATTTCACGAATTTCATGCAAACGACGAATGCTAAGATGGGAGTAAGATGCTAGGAAGTAATCAACCTTTAGCTTATATATTTGTTCAAACATCCATTCAAATTTTCTTATATATTTATTCTGCAATAAAATCTTGAGCATATTTATATTCGAAAAATAAACAATAAATATACTTACAAAATTTAGACTATTGCGGACAAAAAATAAAAATTATATGTGTGCGCATATATAGTGGTGCAAACGAGCCGAAGACGAGCGGGCCCAGGCTCAGCTCGTGTTCGGCTCGGCTAGAAAGTGTGTTCGTGTTCAGCTCGTTAGCAAACGAGCCGAACACGAGCCGTTCAAGAACAAAGAGTCGTTTTGCCCACCTTAATCACGCAACCCTAATCACATAGTCATAAGATGTTAAGGACTGAGGCAAAATTTAAAACATCATTTGAATCAGTTTAATAATTTTTATTCTGTTTTCTTCATCAATACTTTTAATTAATTATAAATATTTGTAGCCTCGTAGTCAATTAATTTTTTTTTAAATACTACTCATCAAATATATATATATATATAATTGATTAGTAGTATTTCGAACTAAAACGAGCCGAACACAAACGAACAAATATTTGGTCGTGTTTGACACGTTAACTTAGTGAACGAGCCGTTAACTTAGTGAACGAGCCGAACATGAGCTTCTTAACGAGCAGAACAGAGCTGTTCGCAAACAATGAGCCGTTTTGACCAGCCTAGGTATATACTTTAAAATATAGTAATTTTGAATGTCACCCGTTAAACTTGATAAGTTAATAGAGTAATGTAATACGAATGCTTATATTTATTGATACGACTATAAATATTGATCTCTGCTGAAATCAAACTCTCCCGAATTACTCAACTGTGGCGGGAGATTTTGGAATTTGGAGTCCCAGCTAGGTTTTCAGAGTTCCGACTTTTTGAGGTTTTGTGGAAATGCGAGTGCTTGGTGGAAGATCCAGCCATCAACTCTAGGCTGGATGCTTGCTGTTTGCTTTTTGGATTTAAGGTAGGTAGACTATGTGTAGGAGTTGGATTAGGGCTTCTGTTACTCTTTCAGCTAGATTGGATGCAGAGCTGCGGTTTATTTGCTACAATTGCCTTTGAAGATACCACTCTTATGCTTTCTTCTCGAGGTTTTGGATTCCCATATTTGGCGTTTTGCCTGGAAATTTTCCGCTTATTTGTTGGCTAACTCCTGCTTCTTTGGGTTATCATCTGTACTGTTGCTGGGATTTATAAGTCTTTTCGTATTATTATTATTATTATTATTTTAATTCTGCTTGTTTTATTTTCAGGGATTTCAGGACGTATCCCGTTAAGAAATCTTTGATTGCTTGGGTTATAATTTACTTTTCATTGGCTATCTTCTATTTTTAAGAAGACAAATACATGTTGATTATCTCTTGAAATTGTAGTTTCGTTATTCGTTGCTCCATTTCAAGATGATTTTATTGAAAGAGTTTTGACTCATAAGGAACATCAAGAGAGAGAGAGGGAGAGAGGAAGGAAAATCAAGAGAGAGAGGGAGGGAGGGAGGGAAAGATCATTATTTGTTGCTCCATTTGAAGATGATTCTGTTGAATGAGTTTTGACTCAGAAGGAACATCAAAAGAGAGGAAGGGAGGGAATGCACATTACTGAATTTTAGGTATTTTACATGTATAAACCTTTGGTTCGACTATCTTATGACTTGGTTTGAAATCAGTCAATCCTGGTTCAACAAGACCTATTCGTTCGACTGTACTGAATCGGGTTTGCCAATTGGCCATTGATAGTCTCCAGGTAGACAAGGCTTAACTCGATCAGCTATTCTAATCTGGTTGCCAACTATTGATCCCTGGAAAAAAAACTCCTGTCGGCAAGCAAGGCTAGAGTGTTGGGCAAAGGGTGAATCACCCTAATCTAGAGGTGTAAGTGAGTTAAGCCGACTTGAGCTTAACTCGATAATTGACTCGTGAACTGAGCTCGATGAGCTAACAAGCCAAGCTCAAGCTTGCCTCGACTAGACTTATTAGCTTGTGGGCCAACTCGTTTAAGTAATATTAATATAAAACATACTCAAAATATATTAAATTTAAAGTATTTATATTTATGTATAAAATATTTTAAAAATAATATTTTGCATTTTATATCAAGTGATTTTTATCATTTCTCTCATAATTGCTCATTTTATTTGTTATTTTATTATAAAATTACATTTAATCAATATTATTTCCTCTCTTTTATAGTATACAAGCCAACTCATGACTTGGTCGTAGAGTTAAGTTCGAGCTTGAACTCAAACTCGATAAAGTTAATCAAGCTGAACCTCAAGCCGAGGGTGGCTCAAGTTTGACTCGACGCGTTTACACCCCTACTATAATCTAATAGGTAGCTCACTCCTAGAAGAGAAAATCCTTCCTGATGTTGTGTTATTATGCTACGACCGGTTCTTGGCCCCAGATGAGAAATCTCAAGGGCGTCCATGAGATGGCTGGTGATACTGAATTCTTCCCTTGAGTTATGTTGTGTCGAGAGGTAGGTCGACGCCTTTGCTTGATTCGATTGGCCTTGGTCTTTGGTTCGGATGACCTGCATTAGGTCGGCCTCTAGCCCTGGTTTAGGTGGTATGATCTAGTCAAGTAGGTTCTTTTGTATTCCATTTGTGAACCTTTGTTCTTCAGCTAGTGGACCGTTGGGCTTTTGCCTATGGATTCTTGGTTTTCCATCTGTAGGCCCTTCTTAGCCACACTTTTTTGTCCTTTTATCTGTTGGATCTCATCGAGATTCATGCAGACACATTTGTGATTTACACATACATTTTAACAAATTTTTAGATTTGTTTTTTCACTAATTTGTTCAATAGTAGGTTTCTATTATGCTTACCCTATGTAACTATGCTCAAAATAATATTTGTTTCCACCTAGCTTTCATGCCTATTGTGATTGTCTAAAGCGACTGAGAAATTTGGAAATGATGCATTGAATTGACATCTTAAGCATGCTACAAAAAATAAATGCTTGATTATCTATAGTTTGTATAAGAAAAGATCTTATTAGGTTGGTCTAAACCAAGTAGCTTGATTGGGTAAGTTAGTCAAAACCAAAATTGACTTGTACATTTAGGTTTAATGTAGACTCTAAGCTTTTTTTTTTATGTTTTAATGTTTGAGAGACATGTTACAAAAATCTCTCATAATCAGTTTAGATTTATGCCAAATAGGTCTACTATGGAAGCTATACATTTATTGTGAGGTTTGATGGAGAAGTACAAAGTGAATAACGAGTATCTACATATGATTTTATGGATTTAGAGAAAGCTTACAATAAGGCTTCAAGAGAAAACATTTGGAGGGTTCTAGAGAATAAAGGTGTTGATATGACTTATATTCAAGTCATTAAAGATATGAATGCTAGAGTTGTTACTTGTGTTCGAACAGGAGGATTAACCAAGTATTTTCCTATTTCAGTTGCATTATCAGAGATCAGCTTTAAGCATATATCTTTTTGCTTTAGTTATGAATACTCTTACTGGACATTTATAGGAGCTTGTACCTTGGTGTATGTTTTTCGCTGATGATATTCTTCTTATGGATAAGACTAAAGTGTTCAGGAAAATCTTCAATTATGGAGGTCTACATGGGAGTCTAAAGGCCTTCGTGTGAGTAGAACTAAAACTGAATACATGGTAGTAGTAGTAGTTCTAGTGACAGGGTTGTAACTATGAGTGATCAAATCATTAAAAGGTATAAACGTTTTAGTTATCTTGGGTCTATTGTTCAAAGTGATGGTGATATAGATGAGGATGTTATTAGTAGAATTCAATATGGTTGGTTGAAATGGTTGGTTGAAGTGGAGTGGTTGAAGTGGAGAAATGCAAACGGGTCTATTGTGTGATAAATAAGTACCGCTTAGACCAAACAACAACAAAGCCTTAATCCCACTACGCGGGGTAAGAAAAAAAATTACTGCTTAAACTGAAAGGAAAATTTTATAAGATGGTGGTGAGATCTACGATGCTCTATGACGCAGATTGTTGGCCTTTAAAAGAGAAGCATAAATTAAACTTAAGTGCTGCTCAGATGAGAATGCTTAGGTGGACGAGTGGCTTAACACTTAGAGGCAAAATGCAAAATAAATATATTTGTGATAGGGTTGGTGTAGCTCCAGTGGCGGACTAGGTTAGATAGAGTCATCTTAGATGGTTTGGTCACATTAAACGTTGACCATCTGATGTCCGGTTCGAAGAGTAGATATTTTAGATTCGATTTATGTTAAGAAAGGCAGAGGTAGACCTAAAAAGACTGGGGCATATTGTATGGGGCATATTGTAGCATATTGTATAAAAAATGATCTTAATTTATTAGAATTAAATGAAAAGATGACACTCAATAAGATGCAATAAAGAAAAAGGATTCAGGTAGCTGACCACACTTAGTGGGATAAATACTTGCTGTTGTTAATGCTTGATAGAGAGAGAGAAAGAGATTTTGCAAGCGTAATGAAATTTATATATAAGAGACATTGATTTGAGGGTTATTTGCCATTCAATGAGAGATTATTTGGATGTTTGATTTAGGAACTTTGAACAATATGACTATAATGTGCTTATTATTATTTTTAAATTTTATATACCTTGGGCTTGAAATTATATTGTTATCATTATATGATTCGTTAAAGCGCTCAAATGAGAAATTTAAAGATCTTTGCTAATACTTCATTATTTATTTATTTATTATTTTGTAATCATTATTTGTTTCAGTATAGACATAGGCAATAAATTTAGCATTTATTAATTATAATTCTTTAATGATATTACTTTTTGCCTAACAAATAGCTTTAGAGTTAGATGAAATTATAATTAACTCACTGGGATTGCGGTTCTTTTGCTCAAGATCCCTAGAGGAAATCACTAGCATCTCCTTTAAAGCTTGTCAAGCGCACACTAATGCTAAAATCATTTTGTTGGAAATTAAAAGTAATTTATATTTATCTAAAAAGGCATGAAAATATTAATAAAAATTTAAAGAATGTTAAAATAATAATCTGAATAATAATTAGTTTAGGCTAATTTGTTGACAAACTTCAGCTCACCTTGAAATAAATTCTTAATCAGGCATTTTCTTACACAACACACATTTCTAGCCTTATTACATATTTCACACCTAAACTTTCATATTCATACACATAGCACTCAAAATATCACATAAAAATAACTCTATTACCACATTTTAAAAAGGAAATGGACATTTTCATGCATATATTTAAAACACAAAAGTGCTATGTATGTAAATATGAAAGTCTAGGTGAGATGTAAATACATAAGAATTGCGTGCTAGGTATGTAAATTTCTGTTTTTTAGTTTCTTTAAATATAGTTCATTTTAATATGAAAAGACTTTGCTCATATAATAAAACAAATTTGAATCGGTCCAAATGTTGAGTTTAAATCAAGCTTGGGCTGATTTAGTTTAATTTGTTTCTATTTTAGATATAAAAAATAGTTTTTTTAAGAAAGATAAATATATTTGATGTAGAACATCAATCTAATCTTGAGAACCCCATTATAAGATCAAGATAAACTGTTTAAGATGCGATCAAGGGCTAGGGAGTTATTATCAAGCAAGGTTTAGTTCAGTGTTTGTCTTAACTTTCATGTCTATTTTTTATCTGTCTTCTACAAATATTTTTTAAATATAATCATTTTTTAATTTCTGTTATAGTTTTGCCTTGTATATATTTTAACGCTTTTATTTCTTCCTTGCTTGACTTCAACGTTCTCATGCTAATATTGTGTTTTAGGTTTTGGATTGGCATTCATGGTTTTAATTTCAATTTAACCCTTATTAAACTTTTAAACCTTGAATCTTTTCTTATTTTGGTTAATGTTTGTCTTAACTTTCACAACCTTGATTGTACTTGTGTAAAAAATCTTGTTTATTTTTCATTGCTTTGTCTTCTACATCCATTCTTTTAATATAATCATTTCTTAATCTATCATTTATAGTTTTGCCGCTTATATATTTTAACACTTTTATTTTTTTCTTGCTTGACTTCTTCAACATTCTCATGTTAATATTGTGTTTTAGGTTTTGGATTGGCATTCATAGTTTTATATTTTGCAAAACATTAATTCAAAATTATATTCAAAATATTTAAGAGCGAACAATTTTAGATTAGCATACTGTATGCTGATAGGTGAAAACATCATTATACAATATTTATATCATATTAAAATATTTTTAATATTTACATCATCTGGTTTATCCCCAGTTGAATTATTAAACCTTGAATCTCTTTTTATCTTGCTTCATTGTCCGACTTAACTTTCACGACCATGGTTGTACTCGTGCAAAAATTCATGTCTATTTTTCATCGCTTTGTCTTCTAACATAATTTCTTTAATATAATCATTCATTAACCTATCATTTAAGTTTTGCAACTTAAATATTTTAATGCTTTTATTTCTTCTTTGCTTAACATTGTCATTGTCAGTCCCAAACCCTAATGTGGAAAGTGGAGAGTTGTGTTAAGTCGACAACCAGCGTAAAGCTTATCAAAATAAAATCATGACATGAATCATTTTGAACATTGTGTATGTGCTAGGGCGTCCCTTAGAAGCGACATACTGTTTAAACTGGATACAATGAAAAGTGTGCAAGGGCCGCTACACCGGCGCCCTGGTGTAGTGTCAAATAAGCAAGGTTCCCACATTACAGACGGAAGTGGGTAAAAAAGTTAGTCCATGAAACTAATGAAACAAATATTATGATAGGATCTTAGAATATAGATACTCTCAATGGTAAGTTAATGGAATTAGTTGATATTATGATGCATAGTAAGATTAATATCTTATGTATTCAAGAAACTAAATGGGTTGGAAAAAAGGTTAAGTAGATTGATAACTTAGGTTTTAAACTTTAGTATTCTGGGAAGAGTTGCACTAGAAATGGTGTATGTGTAATTATAGATAAGAGTTTGAAAGATAATGTTGTAAAAATTAATAAAGTTGGAGATAAAATTATAGCCCTAAAATTATTATTGATACTAAGATTTCTAATATTATAAGTGTTTATGCTTCTTAAGTAGGTTTAGATATAAGGTCTAAAGATAAATTCTGGATTGACTTAGAAGATTTAATGCAAATGATACCTCTTGAAGAAAGAATTTTTATTGGAGGAGATTTAAACGGACATGTCAGTAGAGTGGTAGAAGATTTAAAAAATATTCATGGTGGCTACGGTTTTGGAGTGATTAATGAAGAAGGTAGAGACATTTTAGATTTTGTTTTAGCTTATGATTTTGTTATTACTAATACTTTATTCATGAAAAGAGATGAGCATCTTATTACTTATAAGAATGGACCTAATAAAACACAAATTGATTACTTTCTTATGAGAAGAAGAGATCGTTAAGATTGTAAAGATTGTAAGGTCATTCCAAGTGAAGATTTAAATACCCAATATCGATTATTAGTTCTAGATTTTAAGATAAAGAGTTGTAAAATAAAGAATACTATGACTCATTATCGCAGAATTAGATGAGGGAACCTAAAAGACACAAATGAAATTATTTTTATGAATAAAATTCAATATTTCAAAATTTGGGATGTTCATGAAGAAAAGTAACAAACACTATTAAACAAGTAGCAAATGATGTATTTGGAGAATCAAAAGGAAAAATTTTATAAATAAAAATAGTTGGTGATGGAATAATAATGTGCAAGAAGGATAAAATATAAGAAGATATGTTATGAAAATTGGTTTAGATGTAAAAGCTTAGAGAACTGAGAAAAATATTAAACGGACCGCAAGGAGTGGTCCGCAAGGAGTCTTAAAGAACAATCTGTGACGCTAAAAATTCTTCTTTTAGTGATCTTTATAACAGATTAGATACTAAGGGGGGTGAACAATATATGTATAAACTAGCCAAACAAAGAGAAAAGAAAGGTAAAAATTTAACTCAAGTAAAATGTATTAAAGATAAAAATCAAAAAGTGTTTTTCTTAGAAAAAGTTATTCTACATAGGAGGACGAGTTATTCTGATAAACATTTTAATGAAGTTTCTGAAAATATGATCGACCTTAGTGATCTTATGATCGTTAATAATAGTAAAACGTTTTATTTTAAAATTTCATTAGTAAAAAAGAAGTTTAGGAGACTTTAAAGAAAACCAAGGGTGGAATGTCTGTAGGACTTGATGATGTCCCAATTGAAGTGTAAAATTTTTTAGGAGATTTAGGAGTTTCTTGACTTACTAAACTCTTTAATATTATTTTAAAAACTAAAAAAGATGTCTGAGGAGTGGAGGAAGGGTATTTTGGTCCCCATTTTTAATAATAAAGGGGATGCACAGGATTGTGCAAATTATAGAGGAATTAAGTTGATGTGTCATACTTAAAAATTATTGGAGAGGGTAATTGAACATAGGTTAAGAAGTATTACAAAAATTTCTCATAATCAATTTGGATTTATGCTGGGTAGGTCTACTGTGGAAGCTATACATTTATTGAGAAGTTTGATGGAGAAGTTCAGAGATAATAAGGAGGATCTATATTTGATTTTTATTGATTTAGAAAAATCTTACGATAAGATTCCAAGAGATATCCATTGGAGAGTTCTTGAGAAGAAAGGTGTTGATATGAATTATATTCAAGTCATTATAGATATGTATACTAGAGCTGTTACTTATGTTCGAACTGAAGGAGGATTGACCAATTATTTTTCTATTTCTGTTGGATTACATCAGGGATTGGCTTTAAGCCCATATCTTTGTGCTTGAATTATGGATGGTCTTACTGGACATTTACAGGAGGATGTACCTTGGTGTATGTTTTTTACTGATGATATACTTCTCGTGGATAATACGAGAGAAAAAACCCAGGAAAAACTTGAATTATGGAGGTCCACATTGGATTCTAAAGGCCTTCATTTGAGTAGAACTAAAAATGAATACATGGAATGCAATTTTAGTAGTAGTAGCTCTAGTGACAGAAGTGTAATTTTGGGTGATCAAATTATTAAAAGATATGAACGATTTAGATATCCCGGTCTATTGTTCAAATCGATGGTGATATAGATGGGGATGTTTATAGTAGAATTCAAATTGATTATTGATTGGTTGAAGTGGAGGAAGTGGAGGAATGCTTCGGGCCTTTTGTGTGATAGAAAAGTACCGCTTAGTCTGAAAGGAAAATTTTAAAGGATGGCGGTGAGACCTGCAATGCTCTATGACACTGAATGTTGGCCTTTAAAAGAGAAGCATAATACTAAGTTAAGTGTTGTCGAGATGAGAATGATTAGGTGGATGAGTCTCTTTACACTTCGAGACAATGCGAAATGAATATCTTTGTGATAGGGTTGTTGTAGAGTAACAAACAAACTTAGAGAGATTCATCTTAGATGGTTTAGTCACATTAAACGTCGATCATCTGATGATTCAATTAGGAGAGTAGATGTTTTAGATTCGACTTATGTTAAAAAAGGTAAAGGTGGATCTAGGAAGACTTGGACTTATTGTATAAAAAATGATCTTAATTTATTTGAACTAAATGAAAATATGACACTAAATAAGACGCAATGGAGAAAAAAGACTCATGTAGCCAACCCACGTAGTGGGATTAAGGCTTGTGTTGTTGTTGTATTTCTTCCTTGCTTGACCACTTCAACTTTCTCATGTTAATATTGTATTTTAGGCTTTTGATTGATATTCTTGTTTTAAAGTTTGCAAAATATTGATTCAAAATTATATTCAGATATTCAAAAATAAAATATCTTAGATTAGAATATTGTATATTGATTAGTGAAAATATCATTATTATATCATTTAATATTTGCATCATTAAGTTTAATCCTTGTTGAACCATTAAACCTTGAATCACTCCGTATTTTGGTTCAATGTCTGGCTTAGCTTTCACGAACTCGGTTGTACTTGTGCAAAAATTCATGTTTATTTTCCATTGCTGTCTTCTACAATAATTTCTTTAATATACCTATTTTCTTAATCCATCATTCATAGTTTTGTCTTGTATATATTTTTTCGCTTTTGAACTCTGAACCGAACCTCCATGACTAATTGAAAACTAAAACCAAGCATGTTATTAAATTACTAGATTGAAGCCTTCTTAATTCTCATCATTGAACCTATGGGAGAACATGGAAATAGGATTTATATGGCTTAGCATTCCTGAAATTTTTAGCTTTTCATGATTATGTTAGATTATGGTTGTAGAGCTATGTAGCTGTTAAATATTTTATCAAGTATTCAGATCGATTTTTGCTTTCATTGGCTTCCTCTTTGTCTGCTTTATACTCTTACACATACCGATATGCGTGGTCGTGCTTGAACCTTCCTAATTTTTGTCACATTAGATTATCATAAGCTCTTCTTAATACTTGATACAACTTTTGCAATTTCTCAGGAATTGGTTTTCAGACGGCTTGCATGGTAATAACGATTTATTGTAGTCATCTGAAGATACGCTTATCGATAAAGGATATAATTTTTTCATTGGTTGAACGTAAAAATGCACAAATGGCAAGTGTGATTTATCTTTGTCCGCCCATCTTGCATGAGAGAGTTCCTGTGATTATAACAAAATGGAATGCAACAAAGAAGATGCCATCAGAGCTAAGGACATTGCTGAAAAGAAAATGCAGATCAGAGATTTTGCTGGCGCTAAGAAGCTGCTGCTTATGGCTTTGCATCTCTGCCCAGATATTGAGAATGCCTCACACATGCTCACTGTTTGTGAAGTGCATTGCTCTGCTGAAAAGTTGGTCAATGCTCAGACAGATCATTACGGAGTTCTTCAGGTGGAGTCATCGGCTGATGAAGCATTGATCAGGAAGCAGTATCGTAGGCTTGCTCTTCTTCTTCATCCTGACAAGAACAGGTTTGCAGGTGCTGAAGCTGCATTTAAGCTGGTTGGAGAAGCATATAAGGTACTGTCTGATCAAGCAAGCCGCCAAGTTTATGATTCAAAAAGAAGTGTTCGGATGAGAACTGTGTCTTCATGGAAGCCTTCCCAGCATTTTAAACACGCCAGCAGCAATGCTGGGGCTCCAAACTATTCTTCAGTCAATCAACCTGGTGGAATAAAACAGCATAATAAGCAGTCGCCTTTAGATTTCCTTGCTTCCCATTATTTCTGGTCTGTTTGTATTTACTGCTACTATTTCCTCTGTATTCCTCGGGCTCTTCTGAATAGGGAGGTGGAATGTCACAAATGCCTTAAAAAATTTTGTGCATATGAGGTGAGACACCAAAATGTTCCACCTTTTGGTTCGGGTTCTGGATTCGTCTGGGAATACACTGGTTTTCATCAGACTGATGTTCCTACTCAGTACTTTCATACTCATGGCAGCCAAACCCATTTTGGAAATTCTTCAGGGGCAAGGGTACATGAAAATGTGGTCAGGCCTCCCACTGTATCAAAACCTTCGAAATCTGTAACTGCTACTAAGCATGGACGTTGTGCTACTGACAAGGAGGACAAGGCCGAGTCTGGTGGGATTGGTGATGAGTTAAAGCCTGAAAATGGCAAAACGGGTCAGAAATCAGCAATGAGTTCATTACATGGTGCATGCCAGAGAAGAAACAGGACTACTAATGATAATGATAATATTAAGGAGGTTCGCCCGACAGATGTTGAGGATGGTTCCACAAGTGGCAGATATCCACGGAGGTCAACAAGGTGCAAGAAAAATGTCATTTATAAAGAAGAGGAAATAGAAGATGATTTTGAATGTCCTAAAAGGTTGAGAAAGTTTGGATCATACAGCACTAAGAACAGGCGCATCTCTTCTCCTGAGGTAGTAACCAATGGTGTGAAGAAGAAAACCAATGAGATTCCTGCTTCTGAAGACGAGATTATGGATGAGCAAATAGGTGCAGATCACTGTGAAGATAATTTGCCTAGAGGGAGTGGTCTAGAGAAACGCATGATGCCTGAAAGCAAGGAAGCAGTTTGTAAGAAAAGAACAAGCTCCCAAGCTAATTCTGCTGCCGATTCAAGGTCTAGAACACAAGTTGATTTTTCGTTCTCTTATGCAGATCCAGAATTTTATGACTTTGATATGGATAGAGATCAGAGTAAATTTGCAGTGAATCAGATCTGGGCTGTGTATGATGATGATGATGGAATGCCCCGGTACTATGCTTTGATTCAGAAAGTTTTTGCTCCAGGTTTCAAGCTGCAGTACACCTGGCTAGAATACAATCCCATGAGTTCAGCTGAAAAAGCTTGGGTAAAAGCTGGTTTGCCAACAGCTTGTGGTAATTTTAAACATGGAAAGGTGTGCAGCACAAAATGTCAGCTAATGTTCTCTCATCTCATTTGTGTTGAGAAAGGTGGAGGAAGTACATATAATATCTATCCAAAGAAGGGAGAGGTTTGGGCCCTTTTCAATGACTGGGATATGCAATGGAGCTCCACAGAAGAGAACCCTAGGACATATTCATACGAATTTGTTGAAGTTGTTTCAGATTATGCATCAGGCCAAGACTTCATTGTAAGCCATTTGGTCAAGGTCAGAGGATATCTGTACCTGTTTGCCCGAGCTCAGGACAAAGGGGTCACTGTGATACCCACCGGGCAGTTACTTAAATTTTCCCACTGTATACCATACTGTAGAGTTTCTGTAGAACGAGAAGGAATTCCAAGAGATTCGTTTGAACTTGATCCGGCTGCTTTGTCTGACAGTGCTGTGAGTAACGCTGATGCTGGTGGTGTTCATGCTGCTGAAGTTTTGGATGTCAAGTCTGGCGATCCATGTCAAAGGCCTGTTGCTGATAAAGATAAACTCGTAGTTAATTTAATTAGAAGTTTGAGACCTAGCCAGCATGTTATAGAAACTGCTGGCAGAAAGACCAGAAACCATGATTTCAGTAATTTAGATAGAGATATTAAAGATTCTAGCTCTAATGGACAGGAATCTGATAATCTTGAATTCTTTAACTTCCAAAAAGATAGAGCAGAGGAGAAGTTTAAACAAGGCCAGATTTGGGGACTTTATAGTGACCTGGATGAGTACCCTAATTACTATGCTTGGGTAAGTTCAGCTTCATGGGAAACAACTGGCTTAACTGTGAAGTGGCTGGAGTTTTCTCCTCAGACTAAGGAGGAGAAATTGTGGTCAAAGAATGGCCTACCTGTCAGCTGCGGAAGGTTCAAACTTACATCAAAAGTTGCCCAATATGATTTAACCCATGCCTTCTCTCATTTGGTGCATGCACAGCCTCTCAGGAAAAATAATTTTTTTGAGATATATCCTAATAGTGGTGAGGTTTGGGCTGTGTTCAGTAACTGGAGTCTTAAATGGATATCCACCGAATTCAGACAAGTTGCAGATTACAGTGTAGTAGAGGTGATTGAGCGAGATAAATGTGTGATAAAAGTGATAACCTTGACTAAGGTCAAGGGTTATAAATACGTTTTTATGCCTAAAATGAGAAGTGTAGCTGACATGGAGATACCCATTGATGAATGCTTGAGATTCTCCCATCAAATACCTGCTTTTCGATTGACTGATCAAGAATCTGGAAAGTTGAAGGACTGTTGGGTACTTGATCCCGATTCAATCCCAAAGAACTTATTGACTATAAAGCCTCGACTACCATTGAACCTCATACATGCTAATTAAATGCAGCTATGAACAGGGATAGGGTATCAAGAAGAATGACCAAGTTCTTTAGGTTAACCAACATACACAGAGTCAAATCAGTCTTATTATCTCAGGCTTACTGCTCAAGCACTTGGTGAACAGGAGCAGCCACCTGCTTTACACGTTTGGGTAATTGTATTTTCTCAATAATCGTTTTTAGGTAGTTAGCATCATATATTTTTTTTAATCACTCAAATATCATTCTGAGGAGGCAGCCTTCTGGTTTCAATTATATATGCATTTAAGTGGAGGAATGCTTCAGGCCTTTTGTGTGATACAAAAGTACCGTTTAGACTGAAAGGAAAATTTTATAAGACGGTGGTGAGACCTGCAATGCTCTATGGCGCTGAATGTTGGCCTTTAAAAGAGAAACATAATAATAAGTTAAGTGTTGCCGAGTGAGAATGATTAGGTGGATGAGTGGCTTTACACTTAGAGACAAAATGCGAAATGAATATATCGGTGATAGGGTTGGTGTAGCTCTTGTGACCGAAAAAATTAGAGAAAGTCGTCTTAGATGGTTTGGTCACATTAAACGTCGACCATCTGATGATTTGATTAGGAGAGTAGATGTTTTAGATTCAACTTGTGTTAAGAAAGGCAGAGGTAGACCTAAGAAGACTACACGGGGACGACGTGGGATTAAGGCTTTGTTGTTGTTGTTGTTGTTATGTTGTAGGGCTAGTTTTGTGCTTTTGTGATTCTGGTGCTCCTTTGTAATCCTCTGTGGACAAGGCAGAGAAAAACTTGATGCTTCACTCTCTCCTCAAATCTGCTTGAATTAAGTTTTTTCAGTACTTAGTTGAATGTGTTTGAAAATCAGTGAAATCATTGCATCTTTAGCGGTCATTATTGAATACCAGACTTTTTAGATTAAGTTTTATTAACCATCTGCAGTTAGTATAGATTCACAAAATATATGATTTTATGGCCTTATAATTTAGAATCATATTAGATTTTATTTTAGCGTAGATTTTGTTATTGCTAATACTTTAATTAAGAAAAGAGATGGTCATATTATTACTTATAAGAGTGGATCTAATAAGGCACAAATTGATTATTTTTTTATGAGAAAAAAAGATCGTCGAGATCATAGAGATTCTAAGGTTATTCTAAGTGAAAGTTTAAGTACCGAACGTCGATTATTAGTTCTGGATTTTAAGATTAATTGTAAGTTAAAGAATACAAGAAAATATTATAATAGAATTAGTTGGGGGCACCCACAAGACACAAATAATATTTTTTAATGAATAAATTCAAGATTTCAAGATTTAAGATGCTCATGAAGAAATAAATTTTATTTGGGATAAAAAGGAAAACAAGTACTGTTAAACAAGTACTGTTAAACAAGTGACAAAGATGTACTTGAAGAATCAAAAGGAAAAAAAATTATAATTAAAAATAATTGGTTTTGAATAATAATGTGCAAGAAAAGATAAAACATAAGAAGTATTATAAAATTTGGTTTAAATGTAAAATCTTAGAGAATTGGGAAAATATAAAGTGGCTCGTAGGGAGTCTAAGAGAACAATTTTTTTACGCTAAAAATGTTGTTTTTAGTGATCATTATAATAGATTATATACTAAATATGGTGGAAAATATATGTATAATCTAGCCAAACAAAGAAAAAAAAAGTAAAGATTTAATTCAATTAAAGTGTATTAAAGATGTAAATAAGAAAAAGTGTTTTTCTTATATGAAGGTATACAACATAGGGGGTGAGCTATTTTGATAAAATTTTCAATATAGTTTCTAAAAATATGATTGACCATAGTGATTTTATTATTATTAAAAACAAAACTTTTATTTTAGTATTTTAAAAATATGATTGACCATAGTTTTGTAACTATGGGTGATCAAATCATTAAAAGGTGTGATTGCTTTAAATATCTCGGGTCTATAGTTCAAAGTGATGGTGATATAGATGGGGATGTTATTAGTAGAATTCATGATAACTTGGTTGGTTGAAGTGAAGGAATGCATCTGGTCTATTGTGTGATAGAAAAGTTTTGCTTAGATTGAAAGGAAAATTTTATAAGATGGTAGTGGACGTGCTATGCTCTATAGCACAAAATGTTGACATTTAAAATAGAAGCATAAAACAAAGTTTAGGGTTGTTGAGATGAGAATGCTTAGGTGGATAAGTGGCTCGACACTTGGAGACAAAATGTGAAATAAATGTATCTGTGATAGGGTTGGTGTAGCTCTAGTGATGGACAAGATTAGGGAGTCGTCTTAGATAGTTTGTTCACATTAAACATTAACCATCTGATTAACTTTTTTAGGAGAGTAGATATTTTAGATTCGACTTATGTTAAGAAAGGTAGAAGTAGACCTAAAAAGACTGGGGCATGTTGTATAAAAAATGATTTTAATTTATTAGAATTAAATGAAAATGCGATATTTAATAGGACGCAATGAAGAAAAATGATTCATGTAGCCGACTCCACTTAGTGCAATAAAGGCTCGTTGTTATTGTTGTATAGTTTAACGCTTGCCTCAATAATTTGGCAAATGTTCCCTTCTCCCTGTTTTTCATAGTAGTTTGAGTTGTTTATTTATTGTTCTTCTCCGTTGTTAAAGCTATTCACTTTTTGGTCATTTTTCTCTTCTTTTTTGCCCACTAGTTTTTTTATATGTTTCTCGTTGGTTCTTATTGCCAGTGCTAACAACATATTGCTCATAAGCTTTATAAAAATGTTTCTTCATGCCTAATATTTACACCATTTTTTTTTTCTTCACATTGCCTCCCTCTCTTCACCTCCAGTCGATCTCTCAATCTCACGAGTAATTTTTTATCTGTAGGTTCTTTCATCTGTTCTTCATTTGTCATTTGCTCTTTTTTTGGCTAAGAGATTGCTGTAAATTATAGTTCTTTAAAATATCATTATATTTGTTGCAGTCTATCATCTGACATGATTTAAGTTTGGTTGATCAAATAATCATCGTGTGTGCATAATATGTGTAGTAATATGAAACTCGAATGCATAAAGTCTGTTCTTTGCTTAGCACTTTAAAACATTTTGAAAATACTAAATACTGTCTCTACCCAACTCCTTATACTAATCACTGCTTTAGAACATAAATTGCTATTCTGTATCAAATTTTCCTTCAGAATAGTATGGTATTATGAACATTTTCTTAGGATTTGATTTTGTTGCAGCAAAGCACATATAATAACACGAACCACTGTGAATGGACACTGTATGTGCTATAAACAAACTTCAACCTAAATTGAGCTTGTATTAATCTGATTGTAGCTCTGGTTTGCTGCGCTCTACTTTTATATGCAGAAACTTTGGATGCTAGAACTAGGATTATATTTATTCACTCTGACATAACTAGGATTTTATTTTGTATCAATCTGTTATCTTGAAATGGACAGCTTAGTTACAAAACTAAGCTGCCCTACAAAGGACTCCCAATTCGGTTTAGATTGGGAGGACCTCTAACACCCTATATCGCATCAGACAACCATCTAATTATATAAAATGTATGCTGGACTAGTCAGATTGGAAAGCAAGAGTATTTTTTTTGGGTCATGCAACATATATGCAGTGATCTAAGATGTTCTATAGTATGCAAGGAGGATATATTCATGCATTTTATGATTATTTTAAAACTAGCTCAAAAGCAACGCAGAAAAGAATATAAAAAAATAAATAATAGATTTTAATATCATGAATATTTTAATTTTAAATTTTATCATGATAAATATTTTAAAATTGAGCTTGTTTGGGATCACTTTTTGTTTTTGTTTTTTTTGTTTTGTTTTTTTTTTAAATTTTATTTTCAAAACATCAAAAATATAAAAATTGTGTTTTTGCTGTTTAAAAAACATGTTATTCAAAGTATTTTCTGTGCGAGGCTCTGTCGTCGGTCGCGGGCTGCTTGCCACAGTTGGTTGCCACCTGCAGCTCGCCGCCGACACCGTTTGCCGCCAGCCGCGAGCCTTAGTTAGTTGTAGACGCGGCCCTTAGCCAGTTGCAGCCGCCACCTGGCTTCTGCCATGGGTTACCTACCGCCTACTGCCCACAGGTAATACTTTGTGCTGGGTGGAGCAAGGAAGGCGTATATGCCAGGGCGACAAAGCTTAATACTGGAGCGCACGTGAACCCAACTGTTTTATAAAATAGAGTTTTTCTTAGAAAAAATACCCAACCAAACATTTTTTTTTTGTTTTTAAAAATATTTGAATCATAATAGTACCAAATGCATCTTCTAAAAGCATAAAATATAAAATAAAACAAAAACAAAACAAACTAAAAATAAAAAACAAAAATAGAAAACATACAATGATCTCAAACAGGCTTTTAGCTTTTATAACAAAGATTTTATCATAAATAACATAATCGTGATTATATCCAGACAAATCACGTGATATGAGATAGAGTGAACATATGCAAAGTACAGTAAAAAATGGTCAATATAAAAGAATAAAAGCTCGGGTGCTGCTGGGTCGGCTACAATCCAAAAATAAAATGGCGGTCGGTTTATGTAATATATATTAGATCTTACAACCTATATAATTGAAATTAAGACATGAGGCACAAATAAATAGTTGTTGGTCCTAGTCACACGGTCATCGCTCTGAGATTTGTGCTGATCCTATTTTTAGTACAGACTCTTTTAAAGAACTCTAAAAATTACATAGAGAAAATCTAATAAAAGACTCGACTTGCAAAACAAATGTTAGCATATGTTATCCCATGCAACATACAAGAGGTCATATCCGATAGAATGAGAGATAAACTCCTATAGAAAATGTATTAATTCAAATCATTATCAAGCTCCTCCCCATTGGCCACAGCGCCATGTAGAGGAAATCCACCCACACATGCTAATGCTTAAGCTTCAAACTCAGTAAAACATGTAAAAAACAGTGTACAACAACTAGCACAAACTAATGAACAATAATTGTGCATGAAAACCTTTAACTACATCGTAACCTTGATTGTAAAAAGAAACTATAAGGTGTTGCTTATGCATAAATCTATGTGCAAGACGTGCAAGTGCATGGGCTAAGGGTCTTCTTATAGGATCTTGATGGGGTCACCAAGTTTGCTTCATTCCAAGCATCTGAGTGGGCTAATCCTCATCATGACGCGTGACGAACATTAACCTAGGCCTATGCTTGGAATGATCCTACGAGATTCGATAATAACATGATCACTTGCATTATTCGTCTGGACAGACTGAAGGGTAATGCTTCTTTCTCTGTTATCACCACATGTGCAACTAAGTGTTGTCTGGGTATAGCCACCAACATGCAGACTCATGAGACCTAGACCTA